TTATTTCTTTTTGAGTTTTTGGCTAGCTGTTCCTCAAAATCTTTTTTTGCTTTTCTTCTTACATTTTTACACTTGATTTGACAGTGTTTATGTTCCTTTCTATTTATCTCACTAGGAATGGACTTCCACTTCTTAAAAGATGCCTTTTTGTCCTTCACTGCTTCTTTTACATGGTGGTTAAGCCATGGTGACTCTTTTTTAGGTCTCTTGATATGTTTTTTAATTTGGGGTATACATTTAAGTTGGGCTTCTATTATGGTGTCTTTAAAAAGTTTCCATGCAGCTTGTAGGGATTTGGCTCTAGTCACTGTGCCTTTTAATTTCTGTTTAACTAACCTCCTCATTTTTGCATAATTCCCCTTTTTGAAATTAAATGCCAGGGTGCTGGACTGCTGAGGTGTTCTTCCCACCACAGGAATGTTGAATGTTATTATATTATGGTCACTATTCCCAAGCGGTCCTGTAACGGTTATATCCTGGACCTGATCCTGCACTCCACTCAGGACTAAATCGAGAATTGCCTCTCCCCTTGTGGGTTCCTGCACCAGCTGCTCCAAGAAGCAGTCATTTAAGCCATTGAGAAATTTTCTCTCTGCTTCTCTTCCTGAGGTGACACGTATCCAGTCAATATGGAGATAATTAAAATCCCCCATTATTATAGAGTTCTTTATTTTGGTAGCCTTTCTAATCTCCCTCCGCATTTCAATATCAGTATCGTTGTTCTGGTCAGGTGGTCGGCAATATATCCCTACTGCTAAATTCTTATTATTGGAGCATGGAATTACTATCCATAGCGATTTATAGAGTTCTTTATTTTGGTAGCCTCTCTAATCTCCCTTAGCATTTCACTATCAGTATCGTTGTTCTGGTCAGGTGGTCGGCAATATATCCCTACTGCTAAATTCTTATTATTGGAGCATGGAATTACTATCCATAGCGATTCTATGGAACATGTTGATTCATTTAATATTTTTATTTCATGTGATTCTACATTATCTTTCACATACAGTGCCACTCCGCCACCCACCCGGCCTGCTCTATCCTTCCGATATATTTTATATCCCCGTATGATTGTGTCCCACAGATTTTCCTCATTCCACCAGGTTTCTGTGATGCCTATTATGTCAATCTCTTCCTTTAATACGAGGTACTCTAGTTCACCCATCTTATTAGTCAGACTCCTAGCATTTGTGTAGAAGCACTTTAAAAATTTGCCACTGCTTATTTGTCTGCCCTTCCCTGACGCATTGGATTCCTTTATATGCGGTTGGTTGACTTTGTCCTTCTGGGCACTGGAGGGATCGTGGGGAGGGAGCAGAGACACTGTCAGGGTGACTCTCCTCCCTGACCATCTGCTTGGCACCTTGTCGTGGCCCTCACACCATGCAACATGCGCGCAAGCGAGCTGCAGGGTCCGAGCTGGCTGTGCTTTACAGTCAAGCTGCCGGGTGAAGCAGGTCCAGGCCGCCTGACTTTTCTGTCTTCCCTCCCCTGCTACAGGAGATAAATCAGGCACCGCCTCCCTGCATCGCCCTGGCCCGCCCTTTGGCAAGAGGGCCACACATAGCATGGCTGACAAGGGTGAAGTGGGATGAACAGGATCATGCACCGCCAATGCGGGTCGACTACCGGGGGCCCTGCTGCCGCCTGTGCCTCGGAGTCCCGAGTAACGAATGGAACTCCTCGCCGGGTGATGGGATGGCTGGTGGCTCGTGGAGAGCACTGACAGCCCTACACCCCAAGAGGCTGCTCTGCCCCATGAATGCCTGGATGCCGAAGGGAAACAGAGGCTGCTCATCACAAGCCGCTCTGTCTGCGGTTCTCATTTATTCCTGCGATTACAGAGCCCCCCTAGAGATGCCGACCAGGGTGCCCTTGTGTCAGGCGCTATGCACACACGTAGCGCAACGGGAGCTCCGGCCCCACGAGCTCAGCCCGCGAGGGGACCAGTCCCGATTGGTCTCATTTCCTAACGAGGAATACAAATGCTTGAAGGGAGAGGGCTGGGTTTCCAGTACCTGCGGCGGGGCTTCGGGGTGGGCTGGAGGAAGCCATCTCTTCAGGGGTCCTGACGCCTCACCTGGCACCTTCCCAGCTGCTCTCCTGGGAACGGAAAGAGAGAAAATCTGTTGGGAGGAGAATCCTGGCTCTTTTTATACCACGGGCGGAGGGTGGAATAAATCACTGAGTTCTCTAGCACCTCGCAGGGCTCTGCTGCTCATAATGACAGCTCCCCACGCCCTGTGAAGGTGAAGGGGAAACAGGGCCACAGAGATGAGCCCCCTAGTTTTGAGAGGAACTCGAGCCAGGAGTGACTTGCTCCAGATCGCACAGCTAGCAAGGCATACGGTAGCATCCAGGGGCTGCCCTGACCCACTGTGGTAAAGCATGGGTCAGAGCCTGGGGGCTCCCAATTCCCTCCTCCACCCACTAGACAACACTCCCCCGCAGGCACTTTGCAGCTACAGAGGACTCAGAGTTTGCGGGGGGGAAGGGGGAGCAGAGTAGGAGCTCAAAGCAGCAGGAGGGGTTCAAACACCAGCAGTGCTGCCCGGGGGAAGGGGAGCAGAGTAGGAGCTCAAAGTGGCAGGAGGGGTTCAAACACCAGCAGTGCTGCTCCAGGATGGAGCAAAACCTGCTGGCAACAATGTTGCTGGTAGCTAGTGAGGAAAGAGAGAGAGAGAGATGGGGAAATTGTGTTTACTTTGTTCTTGGTTTTGTGTTTTGCTTAGTGGCAGGTGGTCACATCCTATTGTCTCTGTTCACTGGCTGGAGGAATGTGACAAGCCTATCATCAGAAAATCAAGTGCAAATGTTTGTGGAAAATGCATTTAACATACTCTTTCTGTAAATGTGGAGGGGGACATACGTGATGTGGAGGGGGATGGTGACTGTAGTGGGGCGCTATTTGAAAACATGGCGCCCGCCCACTTCTATGTGGGAGGGATGACTGGACCCATGTTCAACTGATCACTGGGGACACATTAGGACTAAGGGGTCAGGGGGTGCAGCTCACGGGGTCAAAACAAGGGAACCGGATGGGGGCACAGAGCAAAATGCAAAGACCGGCCGCTGGCACAACGCCCCACGGGGGAACCTTTTCCTTTCCTGCTGGGGAGAAATTGCTAGAACTGCCGACTGGCCAAGGCTGCAGCCATCCAGCTGCCCCTGCCGTGGGAAACATGCTCCCTCAATCTGCAGATTTTCAGAAAGAGGAGGCCTCAAAACGCCCCCCAACTCGAGCAACCAAGAGCTGCACTCAGCCCCCAGGCTTAAAGCGCAGACACACATCTGTGCCTTGGGGATTTCAATCCCCAGAGCATGCAGGGGAAACCTGCCCGCCACCCCCAGGGCTGCAGCCGGGCTGCGCACAGCGAGTTCCAACAGCAGCCCTGCCTGTTTGCACAGTGGGTTTCCTCTGGCCAATCCCCGGACAGGCAGGGCCTCCGTTCCAAAGGGCAGGCGAGGGGTAGTACCTGGCACTGAACAGGCCAGTGGATTGAAAGCAGAGCAGGCCCCAAGCCAGGCGGGGATCCAAGCTTCCCCTATATTTGGAGGGAGCTCGGACGCACTGGTTTGGCTTGGACTTAGGATACGTCTACACTGCAGTGGAAAACCTGCAGCCTGCCAGAAGCAGACAATGGGCGTGTGGGGCCCGGGCTGTTACTTAGGCTTAAACTCAGACCCTCCAGCTGGACCCCCAACACGTCCAGAGCAATTAAACAGCCCTGCAAGTCCGAGCCAGCCGCGCGGTATCAACTGTAGCGCAGACCTGCCCTTATCAGTGTTCCCTGCTAGCTGGGCGCTTGTACGGCCACCCAAGAGAGATCCCATTGCCACCCAGCTGATGACCAGAGCGCCCACAGCCGCATGTTGTGTGTCTCCTGGTGGTGCACACTGCTTTACGCGCACCGTGGCGGGTGCCAATGTATGGAAAACACGGACAGAAAAGAGCACAGGAACATAGACCCTTAAGAGGTGGGTCCCGCCCCAGAGCAAGAGCAAGGCTTCCGCAGGAATCACGCAACGGGCAGCCAGACTAAAGAGAGGAACGTGGATCCGCTTCAGAACTAAGCTGGGGAGGAATGAAAACCTTCAGCCTCATTTCCTCCTGGAGGCGGAAACACGTGTCTAAAGCCAGAGGAGTCAAAAGGGCAGCAGCCAGCTGCCACAGGTGTGTCCTGTACGACCAGGCTGCATCTGCACGGCGACTGCATTTCTCTGCCAGAAGAACAGACACGGGAAGAGCGCAGCCCTGCTTGGGATAGGCCAGGCAAGAGTCAACGGGCTCGTTTCCTCTTGGGTAGCGCTGTCCGCCCCACTCCACCCAGCTGTCCCAGGCAGACAGTCCCACGTGAACAGGGCAGAGCTGTGTGTGGCGCCCGGACCTGGCTGGGGACTGCTCGGCCAGGCCTGCCTCCCGCCCTCCAGCGGCAGCTTGGATAGAAAGAGGTGCCCGGGCAGGGCTGTGGGAGCGGCGCAGGGCAGGACTGAGGAGCCTAGGAGGAAAGGCTGCTGACTCTGGCCACGAGGGGGAGGATTGGAAGTGGGGCATGAGGAGACTGCAGAGCCTGCAGAGGAGCTGTGGGCAGGACGGGCCGGGAGAGGAGCCCCTCATCGAGAGAGGGAGGGTGCTGGGAAAACAAGGGCCCTGTAGGGCGAGGAATAAGCAAACTCTCAGAGATGTGTATCCCTCAGCCTAGGAGGAAAGGCTGCTGACTCTGGCCACGAGGGGGAGGATTGGAAGTGGGGCATGAGGAGACTGCAGAGCCTGCAGAGGAGCTGTGGGCAGGACGGGCCGGGAGAGGAGCCCCTCATCGAGAGAGGGAGGGTGCTGGGAAAACAAGGGCCCTGTAGGGCGAGGAATAAGCAAACTCTCAGAGATGTGTATCCCTCACAGTCCCCCCCGGGCCCCCGGCGGGGGGAGAGCCGAGTGCCTGGGCAGGGAGCCGGCAGCTGCATCCGCCCTGATCCCGGCGCCAGATTCATGCACAATTTAGTCTCTCTCTTTTGGTTGAACTCAATGCTGGGGAAAGGCGCACGGGAGACCCAATGTCCCTGTTGGCTGTGGCACAAGTACCCCCGGCACCGAGGGCTTCCCGGACGCACACAGCAATGTCCTGCTAGCGCCACTTTATCCAGTCGGCCTGGCCCACTCGGCCTTTGGCCGCTCTGCAGCAGTGGCCCACGGGTCTGCTGAGAGGGTCATGTAAACGCCACGGCAACAGGGCAACATCTTGTGCCCTCTGTCCCTCCCCAAGCCTGGGCTTCACGCAGGCAGCTTTGCAGAGAAGAGGGAGCATGGACACAAATTAAAATCGGGGCTTAATTTTGGCTGGAGGTTGGCCAGAGCTGAGCCCAGGCACCTCGGGGGCTGGCAGTTCATGGTCCCAGCACCTCCGGGCCTGACAACTCAAAACCCAGCACGTCGGGGGCTGGCAGTTCATGGCCCTAGCACCTCTGGGCCTGGCAGTTCATAATCCCAGCACCTCCGGGCCTGGCAGTTCATGGCACCGGCACCTCTGGGCCTGGCAGTTCATGGCACCAGCACCTCTGGGCCTGGAAGCTCAGAACCCAAGCACCTCCGGGCCTGGCAGTTCATGGCACCGGCACCTCTGGGCCTGGCAGTTCATGGTCCCAGCACCTCCGGGCCTGGCAGTTCATGGCACCGGCACCTCTGGGCCTGGCAGTTCATGGTCCCAGCACCTCCGGGCCTGGCAGTTCATGGCACCGGCACCTCTGGGCCTGGCAGTTCATGGTCCCAGCACCTCCGGGCCTGGCAGTTCATGGCACCGGCACCTCTGGGCCTGGCAGTTCATGGTCCCAGCACCTCCGGGCCTGGCAGTTCATGGCACCGGCACCTCTGGGCCTGGCAGTTCATGGTCCCAGCACCTCCGGGCCTGGCAGTTCATGGCACCGGCACCTCTGGGCCTGGCAGTTCATGGTCCCAGCACCTCCGGGCCTGGCAGTTCATGGCACCGGCACCTCTGGGCCTGGCAGTTCATGGTCCCAGCACCTCCGGGCCTGGCAGTTCATGGCACCGGCACCTCTGGGCCTGGCAGTTCATGGTCCCAGCACCTCCGGGCCTGGCAGTTCATGGCACCGGCACCTCTGGGCCTGGCAGTTCATGGTCCCAGCACCTCCGGGCCTGGCAGTTCATGGCACCGGCACCTCTGGGCCTGGCAGTTCATGGTCCCAGCACCTCCGGGCCTGGCAGTTCATGGCACCAGCACCTCTGGGCCTGGCAGTTCATGATCCCAGCACCTCCGGGCCTGGCAGTTCATGGCGCCAGCACCTCCGGGCCTGGCAGTTCATGGCGCCAGCACCTGTAGGGCTTGGCTCATCAGCTATGAAAATTTTTAAAAGACCCACCTGCCTCTTTCATTACAAATTGTGCCCTGATGAAAACCAGTTAGCCGTGACAGGCACAAGATTTGAACCCTGAACCCCAGCACCTGCCTCTGACCACTACCCCACATGCTCAGCACAGAGCAGGACTCTTTCAGGTGCAGGAGGGCGGTGAGGTACAATGGCCCTCATAGCAACACGCGCCAAGCTCTCTCCCCCACCCCCGGAAACCATGCCACTGACTTCAGTAGACTCTGGATCGGGCCCTTACGTAGGGCACTACTTTACATGACATTCGTGGGACACAGACGGCTTGCAATCTAGTCAGTACCAAGAAAAGTTTGGCAGGAGTTTCGGGTGACACGTTTGGCTCACCGTCTCCCATCCCGGCCAACAGTGACTGTCACATTTTCCTGGTTTTTTCAGCGTTTTTCTCTCCTCCTTGCTGTGTGAAAGGCCCACACAATAACTCTCTGACTGTACCTGGCAAACAGCGGACAATACACAGGGCGCTGGCAGATCCCACAGGCTTTGTTTGCCACCAGGCACTAACACAATTCCAGGCAAAAGAACCACGAGAATGCTGCTGCTGCCAGACCCTCTGCGTCAGGGTGTGGCTACGTGTCAAGCAGCATGTGTACATTTGGTCAGCGCTAAGGGGGGGGCAGACCTCCTCGAGGGGGAAACTACACCGCCAGTTTGATGTGTGGGCGAACCCCTCGCCTCACTTGGCACGAGCTGCCACACTGCAAAAT